GCTGGGCTGGGGCCACCCCTGCCCGTGGGTGACCACGGGCGCTTGTTTCCCAGCAGAGCACCTGCAGGGCCCAGTGCCCACCCTCTGGAACGAGCCGCCGGAGCTGCCCTCTGGAGCCGGCCCCGTGGACGCCACCACCACCACAGCCCGGTTCTCGGATGCCACGGCCTTCCCGCCATACACGTCCGAGCTGGAGCCTGAGGACACCACTCACCTGCACCGGCTGGATGCTGGGGACGGTACGTGGCAGCACTGGGGGCACTCTGGGGTCACCCCAGGCTAAGGATGCCCTTGCTGTGGGGTTGCTCTTTATGGGTCTGTTGCCTCCTAAGAGGTGCTTGAGTCTCTGGAGGTGGCCTGTCCCCAGCCACACTGCTGGGGTTGGGGGGGGAAAGAGGCAAGAACATGCCTCTAGCTCTTTACACAGGGAGTGTGAGCACCTTCCCTGGCTTCCGATCTACAGCAGACGCCAGTTGTAATATGGTTCAAACAACGCAATTCTCTTGGTTGCTTGGGTGTTAACAGGAAAGCTGAGTGCCAAAGCCCTGCTGTCCTGGTCACTGGGAGCTGGCTAAGGAGCAGTGGCTGGCTCCAGCCCCCTGCCCAAGGGCCTGATGCCACTGGGGCAACAGGACTGCGCTTCTGCTGCATGGGAACAGGGCCACTATGGGCAGTGCAGGGGGCTCAGGGGTGTGGCTGCATGGCTGGGGATGTGCTGGTGTGGGGCTGATCCCCCTAGCCCTTCCCATCTGGCATCCACTGTCTCTGCTGACCTCATGCCATCTTGTTCTCTGTCCCTGCAGGGTCGCTGGGACCTGGAGCTATCGGTGCCATTGTCATCGCCTCCCTCCTGGGTACCTCTGTGCTTGTGGCCTTGGTCATCATCACGCTGAGAAAGTTCTCTGCCTCCTGAACTCAATAAAAGATTTCTCTGTAACACACCAGCCCGTCTCTGCTCTCAGCTGATCCTGCTGCCACCTGCCCAGGGTGTCCTGGGGACACACGCTGACATGGATGCAGCGAAGGGCATTCCAGCCTCGGTGCTGTGCAGCAGAGCTGTGCCCCAGTGTGCTGTGCTCTTGGCATGTGGATCTTCAGGGTGCACAGACCTAATGGGCTCGACCACAGCAGCCGGGGGGGACCTGTGGCAGTGAGTGAGTGGCTCTGAGCTGGCACCAGCTCTTTTGGTGATGGTAATGGTGTTGAGCATCACCTTGTTCAGGTGTCCTTGGGAAGGGTTGTTCTTTTGGTGTAAACCACCTTGGTACTTCCCCAATCTCACCCGACCCCATGTTCACGTTCAGCCCCTCTTCCACCCCCTGTATTTGGGCCAGTTGCCCCCAACCAGTTGCACTGGAGGAGGCCGGGGAGGAGGCGAGCGGGGAGGAAGGAGACGCACACGTGTGGCTTTGGCGCTGGCTCGCTCAGGTACATTTCATCACACAGGAAAACAAGACAACGAGAAGTTCCCCTCAGTTCGCTGGGACAGCCCAGCGGGGCCGGGGGGGCTCCAGCCCGTGCATGTGGGCCCCAGGCCTGGCCCTGTACAACACTTGAGACCACAGAAACAGAGGCGTGCAGGGCTGGGTCTGAGGAGGTAACACTGGATGCCACTTGGTGCCTGAAAACAACACAGCCTGTGCCTATGGTTTGGGGTCCTAAAAGGTCACAACAGAGCAAGAGGGGGCCAGAGCAAGTCCCAGGGTCTGGTGGTGGGTCATGGCACGGTGCATGGCATCCCTGAACGCTTGTTCCCTGGAGAAATGCAGTGAGGAACCAGCATCCCGGCACCGGGGAACCTGGGTCAAACCCTCCACTAGTGAAATAGCTGTTCCTGACGGGTAAGGGAATGTTTCTGTGTTACGAGAAACATCCCAGGCAGGCATGTGAGGCAGCAGTGCCTGGATCGTGCTGGCTGCTGGGCTGCTATGTGGCAACTTCTCAGATCAATTTAAGGACTTCCTGGAGCTGGAGCTCTTCTGGGTTTTGCATTAGAGAATTTGTGGCTGCTGTAAGGTCTGGACCCTCAGCTGGAGATTTGTCTGTACTCAGCTAACTGTAGGGTGCTACTGGGGGGGGAATGTGTGTGTGGGGCGTGTCTGATTTGGTGTGTCCCTATTAAATAAGCCCAGTGCACCAGACTGGAGGTTATGGCCCCTTACTTGCCCCCAGCTCTGGGCTGGGCACTGGCAGGAGGCCAGAA